TATATTTTTCTTACTCTAAGAAAATCTTAAGCTATTCAAAAATGATTCTGACCTATTTTCCCATGCACAATCATCATCATTAGTGGCTGCATTGATCAAAGTTCTATCTATGAATCTTGGAAAGCCATGCTTGTTGTGTAGAAATCTACGCCACCCTTAAGCAATGCAACAGAGCCAAGAACAGCAAGAAGCACAACAAATAGCAGCTGTGGCTCTTTGCATGTGTGGCACCATTTAGGCTAATGCCCAGGATATCATATCATTTGTCCAAAAGGTACAGCTGCACCAACTGGCAGACTGTTGAAGGTGGCAAAAACACAGAAGGCAGAAACTGGCAACGGTCCTTGCCTCTCCCAAACCCACTCAAGTTCTTGCAGCATTACCCTGGGCAATGTTCACAAAGAGTCATGGCCAGCATTTAGGCAGAACATGCAATATGACTCGGCTGAAGAGCAGGTGTCGCTGTTTGACTCAGCCACTGGTAAATGCATCTGAAATAAAGTTTATTAGTTCACCACTGATGCATAACAAGCTACCCCAAAGCTCAGGGGCTTTAAACAGCAATCACTTATTGCTTACACCTTACAACTACGTGGGTAGGATGGGGTTCGGATGATCTAGGTTGGAGATGGCTGGTGGCTTTGCTTCTCACTGTGATTCTGTGTATTGACCAATGCATCTCTAGTCTATGTGTATTCATTCTGGGTCCCAGGCTGAAGGGGCAGAAGGGACCTAAAAGGACTCTTCTCATGTCAGTAGCAGAAATGCAAAGGTGCAAGTGGAAATACACTTACAGAGCTTTTCTGGCTTAGGCTTAGAACTGGCAAATTATCACTTTTGCTCAAATGCTATTGACCAAAACATGTCACATGGCCAAGTCCATATTTAAGCAGGAAAAGAACCACACTTTGCATATGAAGAGACCATGGAAAAGTCATAGATAGATTTGCGGACAGATAAAGAGAATTAAGTTCAATGTATTGATCTGCCATATAAACCCATTAGCTTTTACAGAAAAGACTGCTGATTATCATGACAACAACAATAGTACTAATGGTAGCTATCTTTTACTATGCATTTAGAATGGTCCACGCACTCTTCTAAACTCTAGATAGATACATAGATAGATAGATAGGTGCCTAGATAGATACATACATAAATGGTAGATAGATAAGCAGCTAAAGTTCCATTTAATCCTTATAATAAACTTATGAAATAAGTGCTATTATATCCTCCTCTTATAGACAAGGCAACTGAGGTAAAGAGGGGACTTATAAGAAATATAATGAATTATTATTATTGTTATTTTTGAGACAGGATCTCTGTCACCAAGGCTGAAGTGTAGTGGTGAAATCATGACTCACTACAGCCCTGACTTCCCAGGCTCAATCCTCCTGAATAGCTGGAACCATCGGCCTGCACCACCATGCCTGGCTATGTTTTGTGTGTTTTTTTGTGGAGATGGGGTTTCACCATGTTCCCAGGGCTTGTCTTGAACTCCTGGGCTGAAGCAATATGCCCACCTTGTACTCCCAAAATGCTGAGATTACAGTCATGAACCACCATGCCTAGCCAATGATGGATAATTATTAAATTAAAAAAATAATCATTGCTAATTTTCTTAACCTATGGTAGAGGAATACTATGTGAATTATGTCCTGTAACATTAGGATTACCTGCCATGATATTTACTGTGTTAGGAGTAGAAACAGACAATCCAGATGAGCATGCCATGGTCATCAAGAAAGAGAGACATGAACACGATATGCTCATCTCTGGGGTTTATCTACAGAATGTGCACATCAGTAGAACCTAGTAGCAGTGACCACCAAAAGAAACTAGTAGACTTGTGAGGAGGAACTCAATTTGCTTTCTATTTCTTTCCAGTTTGAGGCTTATGGAAATCTGTACATTGAGGAGCCAAAGGATTTGACAATGGAAATCCTCTGCTCGTTTATAATTTAGAGCATATTGGGAAAGACAAATTCTACAGAAAGGGAAGAAGTAGAAGCTTATTTCCTTTTTAGCAGAGGTGGGCAACATGAGGAATGGAACAGACAACAGACATGGGGTTTTACAGCAGCTTCTGGGAAATCTGCAGATAACCTGCCCCAGTGCCACTAGCTGTTACTGAGATCAAGAGCCATAGGTGGTTTCCTATGATTCTTGCAACTTCCTGAGTTCCTGAAAGGTTACAATGGCTTTGTTTGGCCCTTACTCCTCAAATTGACTTTTTGGTGCCTAATTCCCTATGTTTACATATTCCCCTGGTTGAAGGCACTAGTTGACTACTCTATTTGATGAAATGAAACCTGTTTCACGTGATGAGCTTTGAAAGCTTGTAAACACAGATACACTCAAACAATGATGGTACATTTGTTCAAAAGAGAATGATTATCTTAAAGATATCCTCCAAAGTTAAAAATTGATAACAGAAAATGATTATCTTAATAACGATAATCTAGATGTTAAGAATCTCTTAACAAAGATTAGGATGTTGACTAGGCAGAGGAGTCGCCAAGTGGAAGAAGGTGTACTTCACAATTAAAGAAGGTCACTTAAAAACCCCACTTTTTAAAGGTATGACTGACAAAAAATAACAGCACATACTGAATGTATGCAACTTGAGTTTGGGGATAAGTACACATCTGTGAAATCACCACCACAATCTATGCAATAAACCTATCCATAGTCTCTGAAAGTTTTCTCTCACCCTCTTTATTAACTATTATTATTTCTTATAGGAACGTTAACATAGATCTGTCCTCTGAACAAATTTTTAAGCATATTATACAGTACTCGTAACTATAGACACTACATTGTACAGACGATCTCTAGGGCTTAATAATTGTGTATAACAGAAACTTTGTGCACTTTGAGCAATAACTTCTCATTTCTCTCACCATCCCCTCCAACTCATGATAACCATCATTCTATTCTCTACTACTACGAGTTTGACTATTTTAGATTCTACATATAACTTAAATCATACAATATTTGTCTTTCTGTGCCTGGCTTATTTCACTAGCATGATGTCCTCCAGATTCATCCATGTTGTCACAAATGGCAGGATTCCTTCTTTTCAAAGGTTAAATAATATTCCATTGCATGTATGTACCACATTTCTTTATCCATTCATCTGTCAATGGACATTTAGATCGATTACATATCTTGGTTATTGTGAATAATGCCACAGTGAACATGGGAGTTCAATTACCTTTTTGAGATCTTGCTTTCAATTCCTTTGGATCAATAACACAGAAGTGGGATTGCTGAATCATATGGTAGTTCTATTTTTAATTTTTTGGGGAACTTCCATGATGTTTTCCATAGCAGCCACAGCAGCTGCACCCATTTACATGCCCACTAACAGTACAAGGGTTCTCTTTTTTCCGCATCCTTGCCAACACTTGTTATCTTCTGCTTTTTGGATAACAGCCATTCTAATGGGTGTGAGGCTTATTGTGGTTTTCATTTGTATTTCTCAGATGACTAGTGATGTTGAACATCTTTTCGTATATCTCTTAGCCACTTGTAGAGAATGCTATTCTTAAATTTATTTTCAAAATATACATTGAAGTCTGTTTTTGAAAAACTTAACAACAATCATTAATCAAATTGAAAACTGGATGTGTCAGTCTCAAATCATTTAATAATATTCAATCAAGAATAAAAATTTAGGAAGCAAAACTCATTATTTCTTTTATTTACTCAGCAATTATTTCTTGAAAAGCTATAAGGTGCTAGGGGAAGCAACAGTGAGCAAAAGATTTGAGGACAAATCCTTGGCTTCATGGAGCTTGGTTGTAGAGTTTGACACAGACAGTAAACATGTTAAGTACTAAGATGCTTATATAGTTCTTTAAAAAGAAGATCATTAAGGCTGGGTGTGCTGGCTCACGCTTGTAATTACAGCACTTTGGGAGGCCGAGGTGGGTGGATCACCTGAGGTCAGGAGTTTGAGACCAGCCTGACCAACGTGGAGAAGCCATGTCTCTACTAGAAATACAAAATTAGCCAGGTGTGGTGGCACATGCCTGTAATTCCAGCTACTTGAGAGGCTGAGGCAGGAGAATCACTTGAATAGGGAGGTGGAGGTTGCAGTGAGCTGAGATGGCACCATTGCTTTCCAGCCTGGGCAACAAGAGCAAAACTCCCTCTCAAAAAAAATTATTATGAAAGATAAAATGGATAAAATGGATGAGGAATTCTGGGGTGTAAGTTTGCAATTTTAAATAGGAGAGTCAAGATAGGCCTTATTGAGAAAGTGATATTTGAGTCAAGACTTTAAGCAAACAGCAAGCCATGGAGATAACAAAAACAAGATTTTTCCAGGCATTGGAAATTGTTTTTGCAAAGAACTGGAGTATGGGATGTGTCTGGCATGTTTGGGGAATAACGAGGAAACTAGTGTTGTGCAGGTGCAGAGTTTCTGTGGCAGAAAAAACAATTTCAGAGGAAATAACTTATTTAAGAGTTTGAACAGTTAGCTAAATCGCAACAGAGGAAGATCTAAGTGTTTCCAGTTATTTGGCTTTTTTTAAAAAACACCTTATTAATTTAGTTAGCTAATTAGCCGGGTAGGAAGGTAGGCAGGTAGATAGATAGAAGGTAGCTAGCTAGTTTTAAGGAGGTAATACATGCACACCGTACACATTTTCGAATTTGCGGTGGTATGAAGGAGTGCACATTGAGAATTAAGCCTCTCTGATGCACTCACACAGTGCACAAGGATGCAATGTCACCAGGTCTCCTCTCCTATATATCTTTCCCAAGATATTCCATGACTCTTTCTAATATCCACTGCCAATTGAGGTAATTTGGAAAAGGAGAGTGTGTCACTGAGATCTCAACAAAGGTTGCTTTCATAAACACACCTTCATCTTTGTACGGTAATTACAGACCCTGAAAGAGGAGGTCAGCCCAAATGGTGCTCATCCCATATGGGTGGAGTGGGGTCTATCTTGTGAAGTCACCAAGTCTCCTCATGAAGAAGTTACCTGTGTGTGGCCACTATTTATTCTGAGAGCTATTTCTGTTCCCATATCCAGAGGAAGATTCCGTGGCTGTCATTTCTTGTCGTTTTCTTCCAAGGATAAGAAGTGATTTCACTGAATGCATGAAAACAGGTGTAATGAAATTTAAAAACACACTGCAGGCAAAGATAAATAAACGCAATAATAAGAAAGTGAATCATAAATGGGAAATTTCTGTGCTTCAGCAGTCAATATGGAAAGGGGACAATGCATTCTTTGTTTGACAAAAGTTAGAAATCCAAGTTTTTCCTCTAAGTGCAGCCAAACCACATGTAATATATAATTCAGGCATTTCCCTTGTAGGTAAACAAGGAGCAAGCCATAAAATCTTCTATATTTCTTTGATGTTACAGATGGTCTTCTGTTTTATCATGGGCTGCAAGTCTGATTCTGCTCTGTGAGATGTCTTGCATAATTTTCTAGTAGTATCAAAAAAAGTGGCATACAATCAGTTTACTTCTCCAGTGATGGTAAGATAAAGGATGTTGCTTTCTTCAGAAACATTCCTATGGCCCTAGCACTCAACAGCCTAACTCTGTAACCACTACTATATTTTCTAAGAGACAATCTCTGGAATTAAAATGTATGTTTAGCTTTGTACTGGTGTCTCCGGTCCTTGAATTCTCTCAACTTGGTTTTTTGTAGCCTAAAAAATGACCTAAATTCCCTTTTCTTTTACATTCTACCTCTTCCTTGCCTCACCTAACACATGTAAACCAACGTAAAAGTCAAGTAGTAGCCCTTTGTTTTTCCCCTTAAGTTTTTTACTTACTCTAATACATAATTATTCTGGAAGGACATTTTGGTTCTAGCATACCCTCAAGTTAATGACATCATAATGTGCGCTTCCCACTCAGTTTGAAAATCCAAATTGATTAATGACAGTAAAAGCTTTTGAGAAAGTAAGTCAATATATTAAGGATGCTTGAGAGACAAGTAATGTAAATATGACCCCTGAAACAGGTAAAGAGAAAGCTGTGATTCAGTGACTGATTTTTTTTTTTTGGCAGCTTCTACCTGATTCTTACCTTGTTCTCCCACTGTACTGCCTTATCTCCCACTGTACATGTGTTCTCCCACTCTAGCCTTCTCTTCCCAGCATGCTCCATCCAACCACTTATGTTTACTATCCAAGTGTAGTTCTCCTTTGTTCCATGCTGAAGTCCAGGATATAAAGCTGATGTAGTCCCAGGTTTTAATGGATTAAATAATACTTGGGCCCTGCTGTACATCAACTAGCACAGTTTTCTGGAGAGGATGCCTTAACCGGGAGAATGGAATCCATTAGTTGGAATTTCAGTAGCTGACTGATCAGCAGAAGAAATATGTGGAATAAGAATGTCTTCTGGAGCCCCTGAAGTCAAACCGACTAGGAAATTGCCTTATCAGACTGCACAAGGAGTCTACTGAAATTCTGATTTTCATAGATGTGCAGCAAAGAAGCTTAAAAGACCAAAATAGGGCACAAGAGAGTTATGGTAATATTAGTATTAACTTTAGGTGAGAATTTAGTCATTAAATATAATTTACTTCCCGTTTATTAAAAATGCTGGCTTCCTAGTCATTCGTAAGGAAATGAATTCATGACTTGTGATCACAGCAGGGGTGAGGAAGCACTTTCAATGCTGCTTTGTGGGGAAAGTGTGAGCAACAACTCAACTGGCTTCCTATGTGAAATGGACAGATTAGCCTCTAAGATTTTTTAACAAGAAGAAGAAAAAATAATTCATAACTTAGAAATTAAAGCTGTTGAATGTCATCTAAGATGAGGCAGCACTATCCTTTTCAAGGATTATAAAATGAGAGAAGCATAATCTTTGAAAATGAAATAGAACTTTTTCTAAGGTAAGTTTATAAACTTGAGACTACATATCAGACAAGTTACCAAGTTTGGGGAATAGAGATACATGTGTAAGCCTCTGATGTTGGGCAAAGAAAAGGAAGAAAGTTGTTGGTTCTTGAGTTTAATTTTTAAATTTTTTGATGGGTAGAAATGAGCTCATATAAATAATATTTCCTCTGTTGTGTTTTGCCTAACAATTCTTCCAAATTGTGATCTTTAGCCACACCAATCCCCAGAGTTCCTAAGATTTCTGTTTCAGTGCTGCTCATGTCATAAGCAGAATTCTTATAAAAGCATTTTTACAATGTAAAATTCATAGTGGTCCAGGAAGTCAGAGATGAAGCTTTGTTTTAAATAGATCTATATTATTAGTGAAAAATGTGGCATAGTAAAAATCACACAGCACAGAGAGCCTGAGGGGTCTGGGTCCTAGGCCCAGCTCTTCTGTTGGCCATCCAGCAATGAACACTCTGTGTCTCTGATTTTTCACTGGTGAAAGAGAGGGATGAAATGAATGACTCCTCACTTACCTTCCAACACTGAGAATCTGCCTTTGTTACTTAAGAGTATCCTGGCTTTCTCTCAGTCTTAACATGAATAACAATTTTAATAGTGATGAGTAATGCATAGAGTCACTTCTCCACGACTAGGAGAATCTTGTGTCTTAAAGAAAACCAAAGAAGTCATATAACCTTGTCCTCCATTGCCAGTGAGGGCTGCATCTTCATCCTTCAAATATGCTCTTCTAGGCTAATCTTAACAACTCTTCCAAAGAGGCAAACTTCACAACTTCCGCGTCCTTAATGGCAGAAGTTCTTCCTTATGTTTGGTCTGAATCTCTCTGCTGAATTTGCAATTTATTTTCATTTATCCCATACTTAGCAAAGAGGGAACACACCTGGGTCAGATGTTCAAGTGCTATCTATTATTAATCTGAGCCATAGTAAATTTGTTTGTACTAGAGTTTCTGGGGTCTTACCTTGCATTCCAGTGAAAGGATAGAACCTGATCTTTTGATGGAATGTCCACTTTGAGGTCTAAAATGACTGAACGATAAAGGCTAACAGGCTGGCAGGAATCCTGAACAGATCTTGATAGTGGTCACAGGAAAGGGCATTGTTTCTTTGGCTGTCCAGTCTCCTAGCAACCTAGTGTACAGCAGCTCTTGACATAGGAGTCTCTGAAACTCCACATTTAGAACTATTAAATTATTTCTTCTAAAATTAAATATGGGCTCAGTTAAAAACTTGATAAAAAGGTAATTTTTCCAATAGCACCTGGTACTTAGCAGAGATAGGAAATATTGATAAAAGGGAACATAATTATACCAGCTAGTCCTACTCACTGCTTTCTGAAAGGTAAGCTCTTATTACACCCATTTTATGGTCAAGGCAGATGGACACACACTGGGAAACAAACAATGCTAACCATATCAACCGTATAAGAAGGAAACAATTAAGATTTGGAAAAGAAAATGAAGACAGGTTTACCTTGCTGACACTCAAAAAGTAGTAATAAGAAAGACCTCCCTGTTCACGTTCTGCCTCCTGGTCTTGTGGGTGTCCTGTGAGAGGCATGGAAGAGGAAAAAAGTGATATTCCCTGGGGATGGACTTTCCCAGCCTCCTCCAGAGTATTCCAGGTTTGTGAATCAATGGAGGGGGTGGGTGGAGGTGGGAGGGGCTGCCCAGGCAAGGCTTTCCCTTTACCCACAGAGCCTGTGATTAAGAAGGCATCCATCTGTCAACAGTGGCTCTCAGCTGTATTTCCAGCCCAGCTTCCTCCCAACTGACTCATTCAGTGATGCCACAATCTAATGTTTATGACCTAACAGATGATCACCATGGAAGTAGCACAAACCTTAGACTGTTGAGGAGCAAAACCAGCATAGAGGAGCTGGACAGTTTAGGAAAAGAAAAAATGAAGACCCTTATTCATAGAGACCACATGTTAAGACTGAACATCCCATTTCTTATGTGGGCACTTCCACCAGTTACTAAAATTGATATTTGGATGCCTTCGTGCCTGTTGGAGAACCCAAATAAGGATTTAAGGTGACCGAGTACAAACAAATAGCATGGCATTTAGAAATAGAGAGCAAGAAGTAGAAGGGAAAATGTGTATGCAGCAATTTAACAAGGTTTGGATTACAAATTCAGTTTCCTTATCTTTTTGCCAGCATGTGGCAACAGTTCTAAAGGAGACAGAAAATGTGCTGAATGCCAGGAGAAAGATGAAGTTCCCCCAAACTCAACTTTATAAGCAGGACTGGTGGAATATTCACAAAGTGGAAGTCAGGATAAACTGGCTATTCCACCCCACACTGCACCCCGGGAAAAGAAATGCCTAAATGAATAAGAAAGCCAACGGAAATAAGTGCTTTTTAGTAAAGATCGTTGCCTTTGGTGCTGTGAGTGGCAGGAGGCCTTGGCACAGACTTGGGAGCTACATGAGGACTCTGGTGGTGCGGTCAAGGTGAAGTGAGCCTGATTTCCTGGCCTGCCCTCCTCAGACTAATAATCAAAAAGAGCTGCCCTTCCCCAGTCCCAAACAGCCTTGTGTGAACAGAGTGTCTCCTCGTAGTGCTTGCGGCTTACAAGTAATGTGAGAGTCTTTTTATAACTGTTGAGGCTTAATTTAAAAGGAAGCTCAGAATCAGCGGTAAAGGGAGGGGAATGTTGTGAACTACAGACCACCTGAAACGGGGAAAATCATAAATACCAGAGTGTCTGATTATTTGAACGTCTCTTGAAGTTGAATAATGAACCTTCTTCATGTTCTGCTTTTCTGGACTTGGCTCCCTCTGACAAATTTGCAGGCATCAGGGTCTGTCTGAAATTCGTTCCAAGTTGGAGGGATATTTTTTCCCTTGACATTTTGCAGCTGACACAGCTGGAGCAGGAAGCTGAGGAGCGTAACATTACCAAATATGTCCTTTCTCCTGACCGTAAGTTTTATTTCCACAGGAAAAGAAAGCAGATGTGGGCCAATGAGAACTGACCAATAGAAATGCAGCCATAGTAGGCTGCCTCTACTGGAAGTGAGGAAATTGATCAGATGCCATTTTTCACAAAAATGGAAACTGTTCTAGGTACCACCAATTACAATTTGAACTATGCTGGAGGAAGAAGTTTGACAGGTTCCTACAAGTTGCCCAGCTATTTCAGGGGAATTGTTTATCACCGATTGGTCTCATTTTCTCAAGACCCCTGGAGTGGGCCTGTGCTTCTGACCAGATCATTTTTCCTAGGATGTCAGGGAAGCTTCAGATGCTTTATTGTTAAAATGAAGGTTTGGATGTGATGAACTCCCAGATCTCCTTGGGTTACAAAGACTGTGGTTTCCAAGCTTGTTCACTCACATGCTTCAACCACTAAAATAAATCCAAATATTTGCCCGGATGCTTTTCTTTAAGAGTCTAAGAAACTAGTCGCAAACTATCATATCTACATGGGCTAGGAAAGAACGTAAGTGAGCAAAACAGCTGCAGATCACATACCCCTTGTTTGCATATTAAATCCAGTCAGTCCTCCATATCCGCAGTTCCACACTCACAGATTCAATTAAACTTACGTCAAAAATATTTCTGAAAACAACAATAAAAAATAATATAAGTTAAAAAAAAGACAACCATTTACATGCCATTTACATTGTATTAGGTATCATAAGTAATCTAGAGGTGATTTAAAACACAGAGAGGATTTTAATGCAAATACTACGTTTATACAAGGAACTTGAACAATCTGTAGATTGCGGTGTTGGGGGGAGAGTCTTAGAATCAAACCTCACCCTCATCCCCATCCCCACCCTATTGATACCAAAATCCTGCTGAATGTAAGAAAATTTATTTTTTAAACATAATCTTCTTGATTAATCTTTAGTTATCCTGCTTGTAAAAGAGAAGGCTTACAGAGGAAGTCTTTACTGAGTAAAATAACAACCTATGCATGTTTAAAAGAACAGCAATGCTTAATCTTGAGTCAAGAACACTTCGAGGAATGGTAGAAATTGGGGTAATCTGGAGCATGTAAACCTAAGGTGGAAACTGCTTCTTCAGTGGGTCACCTTCAAGCAGAAATGGAGACCTAGTGCTGTCAAATGTGATTTTTCCAGAGAATTGGGAACCTCATATTTTAATGTGAAATTGAGTTAATTTCAAATATTTTGTCTCAATAACTTTAGAGCCAAGATTTGAGGACAAGTGCATGACAGCAATGGGCCACACTCAGCCAATGAGTAGCCCCTTGGTGATCACTGATAGTCAACTGATTTTCACTGATCTGATATTCAGCTGTAGTTTTTTTGTGATAATATTGGAACTTGCAGTCAGACCTCCATGCTCCAGTCAGGGTAATTATGTATGTGTAAGGCAGAAATACATGAAATATCATTTAATGAATATCACAGTGTTTTTCTTTGGAGCCACTTCTTGGATTTTCTTAAAGCTGCTCCATCAGACAAGTGATCTATGCTATTCAGTCATGACAGTAAGGAAAATATTCCATTGCTCTTGATATAGTTGTCACTTTTGCAAATGAACATCTTATAGAAAAGCATATTATTTTAAACAATCATTAGATAAGATTGGCAAACTTTTTTTGTAAGAGTCCAAGCAGGAAATATTTAGGTTTTTTGGGTCATGTGGTCTCTGTTGCAACTGAGCGTCATGGTTCAAAAGCAACCATAGACAATCCATACACCAATGGGCCTGGCTGAATTCCAATAAAACGTTATTTATGCAATCAGATTGTGGGCCAAATCTGGCCCACAGGCTGTAGTTTGTTAACCGCTATATCAGATCATAAGCTCTCCTAAGCTGTAATCTGTTCCACATTCAACTCTGTATTTTCAGTCTACACAATCCTGGCACAGGGGAAGCACTCCATTAACATTTAAAAAAATAAATTGAAGGCTGTTGAACTTAGCAGTATGCCAATAACAATTAACTTCCCGTTTATATGATTGAAGCTCATAGTAGGGTTTATAGATTGTGTTTACTCTGAGACTTACATCACCATTTGAGCCCCCATAGAGAGTTTGTGGTTTATCTCACTGTTCAAAACGAGGGAAGCACATGCCCAACCAATCTCATGCAGCAACCTAATGGCTTGCTTACACCTCATTCTGAGACTGATGGGTCAAAGATAGGAGCCAATAAAAGACCCTCATCATTTTTCAGAGAGGCTCCTCTACATATCTTTACCTCCACTCTTCCTTTGACAACTTAAATGACCTTAAACCAAGCATCTAGGGAGTTCTTACATTGTAGCACAATGGTTTTCAAAATGCTGGTTTCGACACAGTGCATATACACTAAAATGTTTCCCCAAACAATTCTTATCCTTATGAAGATTTACTGGGATATTTTCTCTTTGCTTATATTTTGTTTATTTTTTCGTGTTGCTCATAACTCTCTAAATTGATTTTAGAGAAATTTTTCTAAGTAAAAATGAGATCCAAAGTCACCAAGGTGCTGCCCATTGGCTGGGTAAGGCCCTGTCAGCATCATATGCTTAGCTCTAAAATTTTTGAGCCAAAGTTTTACAAAATGTCACTGGATGTACCAGTGTACCAACATCTATGGAATACCTCCTGAGATCTGTAGGACATAGGTCACAGCATCTGTGCCACCTGGAGTTCTTCACTGGTGATAGCTGGCATTTTGACAATCATAAATAAGCAGTGTCATAGGTCTGGGCTGGAGCCTTGACACATGGAAACCTCTCTACAAAAAAAAAAAAAAAAAAGAGAAAGAGAGAGAACTGAATTGGGATGAGGACCCACTTTAGAGAAAAAAAAATCCAAGTACAAAGGCATCACGGGATGGTTTCTTTTCACTCGATTTCATTCTCATGGTGAATGAGGAGACCCCAAATTAAAATCAAGATTTATTGGCTGGAGCAGTGTATGAGAGGATTAGAGGAGAATGTGAGCTCAACCTGATTGACTTCCAAAAGCCAAAATGGAGTTACTGGAGGAAATGGTCTGGAGAAGAGCTTAGTTTTTCTAAATGAAGGTAACTCTGTAGAGAGAGGAGGAGATAAAATTTCTCCAAGGCTCCAGCCAAGACTGGTGAGGTCAATCTAGACATGCAGCTATTTTAAAAAATCAAGTATTTTCTTTTTTGTTAATTAGTTTGTCAAACCTGGCATAGTTTTGGGAAGATAATGGGGAAAAGAGTTGAGATAGTTGGGAGTGGATAATGAGGAAGAGAGCTGAGATAGAAACTTGAGTATCCAAATGGTCAAATAGATTAATTAGCTTTGATAGCCATAGTCAAGTTATAGGTAAAATATACAGATTAATCACCATTAGGCAGTAGGGGTGGGGAGGTAAGGAATGAAGGGATTGGATTTAGCAGAAAGGCCCCATAATCAAATATATAAAAGTAACCAGATAGATATTTATCAACATAAAGAAATTAGCCAATTGGGAATTCTGAAAGAAAACCTCTGGAAGTGAGAACCAAACTATGTAGGAAAAGAATTATATATACTTTTTTTTCTTTTTTTTTTTTTTTTTGTAAAGAAGTCTTACTCTATTGCCAGGCTGAAGTACAGTGGCACAATCTCAGCTGACTGCAACCTCTGCCTCCCAGGTTCAAGCAATTCCCCTGCCTTAGCCTCCTAAGTAGCTGGGACTACAGGCATGCACCATGCGTGGCTAATTTTTTGTATTTTAGTAGAGACGGGGCTTCATCATGTTGGCCAGGATAGTCTCGATCTTCTGACCTCATGATCCACCTGCCTTGGTCTCCCAAAGTGCTGGGATTACAGGTGTGAGCCACCTTGCCCGGCCGAAAATAAATTATATTAATAGAAAGGCCTATAAAATAGTTTGGGACACATAAATTAATGTTAAACACATGTCTATTGAGAATCAGAAACAAAGGACTACATAAAATGACTTAAGAGAAAGAGAGACTAGATGGAGGGAAAATTGGAGGTTTAAGATTAAAACCTGGAAGAGGAGAAAATATTAATTTTCATTATTGTTACAGACTAAATGTATCCCCCCAAAATGTATAAGTTTAATCCCTAACCCTCAATATGATGATATTAGGATGAGGGGCCTTTGGTGAGTGATTAGATCATGAGAGTTGAGTCATGCATGACATTAGGGCTCTCACAACAGAGACATCAAAGAGCTCCCACCTCTCCCCTCCCGCCATGTCACATACAGTGAGAACATTGCCGTCTGTGACCAGAAGGTGGCCCTTGCCAGATGCCAAGTCTGCCAGTGCCTTGACTTTGGACTTCCCAGCCTTCAGAGCTGTGCAAAATAAATATCCTTTGTTTATAAGGATATAAGACCACCTGGTCTATAGTATCCTGTTATAGCAGCCTAAATGGACTAAGGCAATTACTAAGTATAATTCTAATTTTATGAAAAGAAAAATCATAACAGCAATGAATATCTTATTTAAAGATTATTTTCACTTTTACAACTCTACAATGGGATTTTCATTTCAAAGGACTTTATAAAGTACACAAGTAAAAGAAATAGGAAAACAATAATAAAGCCAAATGATGATATTCTCTATTACATGAATGATGACATCATGGACATCAGGAGTCTGGTTTTGCAACACTTAAGGGAGGGTGTCTATAATTATTTCCCAATGATGTGAGCCTTTGCATAATTTTTCTCAAAATATAATTAATTTTAAAGCACTTTTAAGAAATCTTGGATGTTATAAGTCCAGTGATATTATGTCCATCAAAACCCTGACTTCATTATTTTGTTGTCTTACTAAATTTCACATAGCATTTTAATGAAAAAACCAGCCATATTTTTAAACCCAAATGTCATACTCTCTCTTATAGTTTATATTTCATTCTCCAAGTGATTTTTCTTAAGTCTCTGACATGTACTAAGAATAAGCAGAATCTTTAGTAATGAACTTCTCAAAATTATGGTTTTAAAGGCAAGACTTACTGAGCTGATCTCAAAGTGCTAGTCAAGATTCCTCAACTTTTCTTCCAAAGAGAAGGTATAGGTCTTTATCCCAAGACTAGCTGAGAAATAACTGAGAATAAAAACAAGGGGCATTCCAGGTGCAAACAGTACTGGATTTACAGGAAGAAAAGGGGAGAGAAGGAGACGCCTCCTGGAACCTGAAGCACGCATCTTGTTAGTGGAGACACATAGTGTTGGGTGGCTCATTCAAAGATTTGATCATTTCAGTAGTAAAAGAAGAAGTAGCAGGAGGCATGGACTCACAGTCCCAGCTGCTGGACTCTCCCTCAGGGTGGGGTCCCCTCTTTATCATTTGCCCTTAAGGACAACCACTATCTTCTCTCTATTCTGGGCAACTTGCTTTAATAGGTTGCTTCTACTTAACATTACAGAAAAATTTTCCAGGACACTATATCAGCTCCCAATAGACTAAGATTTTTTATTATTTCCCTCCACTTTCACTGTGTTAGTTTATTTACAGAAGAAAATTCATTATAAACATATATATGTAATATAGATATTTGTGTATAGTGTGTGTATACATGTAAATACACTCATTTGATATCCTATTTTATCTCCCCACACAATTCATAAAACAATATTTCTAGAATCCTGTTCAATGAGAGGTAGAGTTATTAGAAAGTACTGTAATACTTTGTAATATAACATTATATAATATTTTAATATAAGAAGTGAGATGCACAAAGTATTTCCCCGAAGGATTTCTCTATATAAGACCAGCATTTATTCCACACATGTTCTATATTGCAACTATCACATAGAAATTGCAGTGACAACAATATGTAGGAGACAGAACATAAAAATGACTGATTTTTATGAAAAAGAAAATCTCCTTTAGACAGAAAATGACATTACCAGCTCCTAAGGCATCTAATATTATTTTCTTGGTGAATAAATAAGACATTGTGAAGTTGGGAGGATACCACTTTTTTTCTTTGTTGAAATGTCAGTACTAGTAAGTCAAGTTATCCAAGTCTGGTAACTTGGATAGTGCTGGGTCAGGTCAGGCCTGGGAATTAGGATGGCAGGGGTCAAGGTAAGAGTGAAGTTAGAGGTTAACATAGCATATGTCTTAATATTTAAGTTACTAATCTAGCTAACACACTAAAAAACATGTTTGATTCTCTTCCTTGACATATATACTTTCAAAATGACAGAGTTTGTATAAATCTATGATTTTTACATGACTGAGGGCCAGAAAACTATCAAAGAGAGGAACATTAATTTTTATTGTGCATTTCTGGGTGCTCTGTTGATAACCCATGATATTGGCATGACTAATAATATAGGTAAACAAATTTAAGAGTAATATGCACCAAAAGCATTGGCAACAAAAGCCAAAATAGACAAATGGGACCTAATCAAACTCCACAGCTTCTGCACGGCAAAAGAAATGGTCACTAGAGTGAATCGGCAACCAACAGAATGGGAAAAAATTTTTGCAGTTTACCCATCTGACAAAGAGCTGATATCCAGAATTTAACAAGAACTAAAACAAATTTACAAGAAAAAAACAAACAAGCCCATGCAAAAATGGGCAAAGGATATAAACAGACACTTTACAAAAGAAGACATACAGGAGGCCAGCAAACATATGAAAAAATGCTCATCATCACTGGTCATTAGAGAAATGCAAATCAAAACTACATTGAGATACCATCTCACGCCAGTTAGAATGGCGATCATTAAAAAATCTGGAGACAACAGATGCTGGAGAGGATGTGGAGAAATAGGAACACTTTTACATTGTTGGTGGGAGTGTAAATTAGTTCAACTATTGTGGAAGACAGTGTGGCGATCCCTCAAGGACCTAGAAATAGAAATTCTATTTGCCCAGCAATCCCATTACTGGGTATATATCCAAAGGACTATAAATTGTTCTACTATAAGGACACATGCACACGAATGTTCATTGCAACACTGTTTACAATAGCAAAGACCTGGAACCAACCCAAATGCCCATTGATGATAGACTGGACTGGGAAAATGTGGCACATATACACCATGGAATATTATGCAGCAATCAAAAACAATGAGTTCATGTCCTTTGTAGGGACATGGATGAATCTGGAGAACATCATTCTCAGTAAACTGACACAAGAACAGAAAATGAAATACCGCACGTTCTCACTCATAGGCGGGTGATGAACAATGAGAACACATGGACACAGGGAGGGGAGCACTACATACTGGGGTCTACTGGGGGGAGTAGGGGAGGGACAGTGGGGCGGGGAGCTGGGGAGGGATACCATGGGGAGAAATGCCAGATGTGGGTGAAGGGGAGGAAGGCAGAAAATCACACTGCCACATGTGTACCTATGCAACTATCTTGCATGTTCTGCGCATGTACCCCAAATCCTAAAATGCAATAAAAAAAAGAGTAATATGAATGTTTAATATTGTGGAATGCTCCACAGCCACCTTCTATGATGGTTGTGGATACTACACTAGTTTGTGTGTATTTCTGGAGCCACCAATTGGAGTATGAAGAGAAGGAAGAAAACTTGCTTTTTAAGTAAGAAAATGGCTCAGCACTACCTGGAAACAAGACTTTGTTGTGAAAGAATGAATTGCATTCATATTACTAGAGGGGACGAATTTGACCAGTTACTTAGTATTTTCTTTTTCTCTTACCTAAGGGCTTCTGCTGTTCGAATCTCACCTCTACTCAAGAACAGTTTGTCTCTTCAACATCAGCAACAGCACAGACGCAATCACTTTTTCTGGGAGACAGGGCATGAGATAGGCAGTAGCATGAGCAGTGGTTAGGGTTATAGGTCATGCTGTGCAGTGCTGAGGACTGGATCCACAGTAAGTGCTCCTTACTTACTCCTTTAGTGTTTTTACTAAAAGGATTTTTCATGTGTTTGTGATATGCAGTCAATGGCAGGGGCCTCTCTTACTTGCATATGAAGGCAATACTAGATCTAGGTTTTTTCTCAAGTGCTTTCTAGATGGTCAGAATCCAAAAAGGCTTAAGGCGTGAACAGCTTTCAAAGAAAGATGTCATTATTATGGAGTTCTTTGGCAAGCTAAGATTTGATAATTCTATATGCTATGCTGTATTGTCAAGGTGACCATAGCTATATGGGAATAGAGCCGTAGATCACTTATAGCAAAAGCGCTTCACTGATTTTTTTTTTTTCCCTCACGGATATCATCAAGTCTATTGCAGGAAAATCAGGTCTCCTCCAGTGTTTTGTTTTTGTTTTCTTATGAGAATTCTTGATCCAATTGAATTTGGCAACTCCTTGATCTTGACCCCTGTTTTTCTTGCTTTCATGTCTGTCTTTTAACCTAAAAAAATACTCTGTCACCACTAGTTTAATTTCAGTTTAATTGCAAGTCTTTTCAATTTCTGATCCATCAAAGGTTTGTTCTTCACTAAGCATGCATTTCCCACTCCAGACTCCAAATACTGTACAGGCTTTGAACAATGGGTATCTGTTCCCTCCTGTCGGGCTTCCAGAAATAGGCTTTAGAGAGCTGCCATGTGTTTCTCTTTCTTAACACTCCAACAAGAACCCCTCCATGACTCACACACACAGAAAACCAAAGGCCCTGAATGGTTATTTATTCTCACCAGCTGGACGACCCTGCACGTGGCTCTCAGCATGGGTGAGGATTAGAGAACCTTGGAGAGGTGCGGCGCGTAATTTAAGTACAAACAAACCCTCATGAATTTGCGCTTTGCTTAGATCATGCACGGAAGTTCAGGGTTAACCATGAAACCCAGCTCAGCTTCCTATCTTTGTTTTTCCTCATGTACACTCAAATGGGAGAGGAAGGATCAGGTAAGATGGTCAGAGAAACATAAATACCACCGAGACTTGTCATTTTGAAGAGCTTACAACACCGTATTCAGCCTTTAGAATGGACACTCTGAATATTTAGCACATGGCACCTGATGGCCTGATTAGATCAATTTGCTAAGCTTACTTTAGAGAAATAAACATAGACAATCTTTAACCCCAATCACGAACTGTATGTGAGCTCTAGGAATTATCTTACAGCTTCCCTGTCATTTGGTTGTTTTCTGCCCAATTTTGTGGAATTTTATCCTATGCATGGCAGTTTCGTATTCAGCAACAGGCTCAAGGGACCTCAGTGCAGAAAAGTGGGTATCTTTCTCTCACAACATTCTCCTCTCTGGTGGTTTGCTCTGCTGTTCACCAAGTGGACAGCAGAGTCTGCTGTCTCCGCAAGTGTCTGCTAGCTCTGCCTCCCTGAACTCGTTTCTACTCCTCTACTCCACAAAACTGAAGTTCTCTCTTTGATGTCTTGCTACAGGCACTATATAGCAAATGCCTTCAGGCAGGAAACAGTACATTGACTAAGCTCATCTGCTTTGTTTCCCTTCTCTCAGGCATCACAGTTTGGCTGCCCAATGTCCAGTGCCTGTTTCCAAGATACAGGTGTTATCCAGCTTTCTAGTTATTTATGCTAGAAGGGTAAGTCTGCTACCAGGTACTTTTTTATGGATGGAAGTAGAAGTCTCCAGTCATAAGTTATGATCTAATGACATTAAAACCAAGATAAAGACAATCTATATGCTTATTAAATACATTTTCTGTTTTCCTAGACTTCACTTCCCATGCTAGATACAAACAGTAAGAACTTAGTTCTGGGGTAAAAATTGTCTTAATCTTATCATGAGTCATGATCAAGAGGAACACTTTTTTGTTCCTGGATATTGCCTTGAAGATGTGAAATCTGGAATTGCTCAAGTCAGCTTGCAACTAATCTACAGAAGGGGTACATATGCCAAGGATGGGCGCATGGAAACATAAAAAGTATCTATGTTCTTGATGATTATATACAGCCAGTGAATTAATGAGTTATGAACTATCCTAACTTCAGACCTATTATTATATGAGGTAGTAAACTCCTTAAAATTAGAGCCAGTGGGCCGGGCGCGGTGGCTCAAGCCTGTAATCCCAGCACTTTGGGAGGCCGAGGCGGGTGGATCACGAGGTCAGCAGATCGGGACCATCCTGGTCAACATGGTGAAACCCCGTCTCTACTAAAAATACAAAAAATTAGCTGGGCACGGTGGTGCGTGCCTGTAATCCCAGCTACTCGGGAGGCTGAGGCAAGAGAATTGCCTGAACCCAGGAGGCGGAGGTTGCGGTGAGCCGAGATTGCGCCATTGCACTCCAGCCTGGGTAACAAGAGCGAAACTCCGTCTCAAAAAAAAATAAAAAAAAAAAAATAATAAATAAATAAAAAAAAAAAAAAAAAAAATTAGAGCCAGTGGAGTTAGGATGGCCATTACTTATAGCCAAAAGCATTGTAACAAATAAATTTTTTCTTCTTAGTAGGTTAGTAGGTGACTTTGAAAGCCCTTAGCTGAAACAGGAGGAAAGGACAATTTTGAGGATTTGGAGGAAAAGTGAGGAGTTCACTGTGGACATGTTGAATTTGAGTTACTTACAGATCATTGATATGGTTTGGCTCTGTGTTCCCACCCAAATCTCATTTTGAATTGTAATCTCCACATGTCTATGGGGGGCCCTGGTGAGAGGTGATTGGATCATGCAGGCAGTTTTCCCCATGCTATTCTTGTGATAGTGAGGGAGTTCTCATGAGATCTTCTGATTTAAAAGTGGCAGTTCCCCCGTCTGCTCTCTCTCTCTCTACTGCCACCTTGTGAAGAAGGTGCTTGCTTCTCCTTCCCCTTCAGCCATGACTATAAGTTTCCTGAGGCCTCCCAAGCCATGCAAAACTGTGAATTAGCTAAACCTCTTTTATTTATAAATTACCCATTCTCAGGTAGTATTTTATAGCAGTATGAAAACAGACAAATACAATCATCCAGTGGCATGTCAATATAACCAGAAGATGAAAATGTTCTGTAGATTTTTGGGATCATCAATGTATGGTTTTTGTCAGCAGAATAAGCTGGGATGAAGATGTTCATCAAATATGGTCTCAAGAAGAATGTACTCATCTCATTGTAGAAGGTAACCTAGTTTTATCCTGTCATTTCCTTTCAAACATCTGAAGAAGGCTGGGATAGAATCTGTGATGAATCTGGAGGCCTAACCCAGTGAAAAGGTCAGGAGCACACACTGATGATGATGAAAAAGCCACGCTGGACCCATGGAAACAGATAGCTCCTAAAATTCAGTGCAGTCAGGAACATTTGCTCTTATTAACTTGCTTATGCAACAGTGTTGTCTACTTCTTGTTTTTAAGGTAATATTAAAAAGAATCCAAAATGAGCCATAAAGATCACAGTGCTTTATGATCAGTAAAAATTTGTGTAAATAGAAACCTATCTAGTTTATCAATATAATTCATAGTCCTTAAAGAGAGTTTGGCAAGTTTATGCAATAAATCAAAATTCCAACAGTTAGTTCTCTTAGGAATTTACCCCCTAGTTAGTAGATTATAAAACTTTCTAATATTAAAAAAGCATAATCTGAAATTGCAATCATAAGAACATTGATTTGGTGATTCCTTAATAATCTTTCTTCACAGAATCATGAAGGTCTTCAAAATAGCCAGACACAGAACACAATTATGCCACATTACAAAATTTTTAAAGAAATCAAGTTTTAGTTTGTGTTCAAATAGGCTTCGAGAAAGATTGTTTTCCTAAACTAAATTGAGTGAAACAATCTCCTTTGACAGTCAAACACAAACTAAAGAATTAAAATAAGCTTTGACATATGTTAGCAACTAAATATAGACGACCAATCATGTTAAAGGCTAAAGTAATTTATTATTTGTTAATTACCTTAAAATACCATGAAAAGATAAGTAACATTATAAGTAAATATACTTTAATATGTAAATTTGGGCACTATTTTTCTTTAGAAGTGAAGATTGTGTGTAAGGTTGCAAGGATTTGAAAGAATGTACATAAAATACTTGCTCCAGGGCCTGGCACCTACTAATACTGAATAAATAAGAACTATCACTGCTACGACATTGTCATTCCAGCTAGGCCAGTCTCATTGCGTCATTGTGTCATTATTAGAAACGCTGTAAAATTTTATTTCTGTTTTCACCTAAGACTGGTATGGTCTAATTATTTGTCTATAAAGACAAATCATATTAGTGGTCTCTTTAAATTTAGGAAGTGGTAGATAAAGTTTATCAAACAAAAATGTCCCTCTGTCAAATATCCCAGTATTGACAATGAGTCAGGAAATGTTGAAGCTAAGGACTGAAGTAGCTCTCTCTGAAGATGTTACAGTAATGATTGTGAAGGTGTTCCTACCTTCTCAGCCTCACCTCTGCCACACCATCTTGACCACCACTTCCCTCTCTGGAGCTAATGGGGATCCCAGAAAGAGCCCAAGGAAGCTAGCTCTACTTGCCTGCTCATTAACCAACCCAATCTAGCTCTCTCTTTCCAAAGTGTATCAAATAACTTACCATTTCTTCAGACTAATCATTATTCCTTCTTTCTGACCTTTTGTACAATTAACTCTAAAGCTCTGTCCTTATCCTTCCCCTGTTTAATTACAGTTCTAAGCTAGACATTCTTTTTCTGATAATAGCCTGGAAATTCTAAAATGGCTTTAAAATATGCTTTAGTTAGGGTTGCAGGGATCATGTTATTGCTACTCTATCTTATTTTAATTTACAGGTTTAATTTTTCCTTGAGGGTCTTTCACAAGGTTTGATAAAGGTTCAGTAATGCTCAGTGTATTACCAATCACATTTATTGAATGCATGTTGACCATGCTAATCTCAGTCTCCTTGAAGCACTAATCTTTTCGGATACCTGTTAAATTTGGTGTTCTACGATGCTCAGTTCTAGGCTGTCTTATCTCTTCCATTATATTGTCTCTCTGGACAATCTTATCTTTCACATGTTTCAGTTATGATCTATATGCTGTTCACTGCCAATATATTTCCAGTCCTGTCCTGTATTGAGAGCAAAAGTACCTGTCTCCAATTATCTCACTACTCTTGAGTATCCCATAGATAACAGATATCTTGTCCCTGAACCCAAGAGCCTAATCCTCTCCATTTCCTCTATTTGTAATGGAAACATTTAACTAGTCCATCAGTAGTCCGAACCAGAGAGAAAAATGTCACTGCTATTTCTTCTCATACATCCAACCAATAATTTGTTGTTGTTGTTTTTAATTTTACTTCTTAAGTCTTTCAACTTCTCTTCAATACCACTGCCTTTTTTCTGCTTTGGGTCACTACCACCTCTTAGCTAGAATACTTGAAGAGCCTTGTAACTGGCTTCATTGCCCCTAATCTTGTCTCTTTCTTTTATCTTAACACTTAAATCAGGATGATCTTTCGAAACAAAAATCTGTGATATATAATAACAGAAAGTGGAGTCGAAAAATATGGGATTAATTCCACCTATTGGGCAGTGATACTAAGGAATTTATTAGAGTTTTTAAAATACATTTGGTTATTTTTAGATCCATGGAAAAAGAATTAGCTCACATTTGCTGAGGGTTTACCTTGTCTAATGGTGTCTGTAGCTGGATAGAAATAGTTGGAATAGAGACTGATGAAGAAACAAATAATCCACTCTCAAGTTCAGCAAACACTCCTGGAATGCCTACAGCATGAAAGACACTTCAATGACTTAATGTGTATCACAATTATGCAAAATCAGGAGAAAGTGCCTAATTCTCCCATAATGATGGTACCACTGCCTTCTGTAAAGAAATGCACCAATAATGCCACCATTTCCAGGCACAGAGACCACAGTTATATAAACAAGCTTCCATCCTTTCAGGGAAGTCAAAGGATGTGCCAGAGCTCTCACTTCTGTTTACATGGGGAGAGGACTTCATCTCCCATGCAGGCAAAACAATTTTGATTTTGCCAAGGCCCCTGGGAGGTAAGAGAGTGAAAACTGTGTATGAATTAATACAAGACAGTTTTCTTTCCAGCGTTATAGGACCAAGAGCGGAGTGAGGAAAAGAGAAAAGAAAAAGGATGGCAACTATACAAGAGGATAAGATTTCAGAGTCCAAAGACAAAGTATGCTCTCTAAAGTCAGTGACACTATGTAGAGTTCTATGTCATTAGATTAGGCTGCCTGGGGTAAATTTTTAAATGTGCCATTTGTAAGTTACTGAAATGAGTGAAGATGGTCTTTTTGTTTTTTCTCTATTCATATTGCATACACAAATAGTATTTCTTAGAGAAATTTTCCGAAATGATACCTTTCTCAACTGATGGCCAATATGCTATCACCAGTTCAATTTTCTGTATTTAGAATGTTTTCAGGAAATCTGCAATAAATATAAGAAAATAATTCAAGTTTATTGATGATCCGGCCAATTTATATTCTATCTGGGTATCTTGTTTTAAGCTCATGCATATTAAAGATATGATATGAGTGTGAATTTACTGAAGCACAAGTCAAAACCTGGGATTTGTGTTGTAACTGTGTGCATTAACAGACTCGCCAAAACTTGCAATGACTTTTTCTAAGCATATCAAGTAGTCCTGGGTAGCTGATATATCTACTTTCAAGCTTCCACAGATATTCTCAGCTTATGAGTAATGTGTTTCCCATGCAAGTAAGAAAGAAATTAAGATTGCTTGCTTCAGAATAATGATAACCTATTATAATAACCCAGAAAACCAAGATATCAGAAACCCGATGAG